AAACTCAACAGCATTAACTATATATATATAGTTATAGTTATAATTACACATGTATGTGTAATTTACAGATGTGATAAACAAGATTTCTGGGTATGAAAGGAAAAAGGAATTGTTGTTAATGTTGTCGAGTCAGTTTTGACTCATAGCAACCCTGTATGAGGAATGACTGGTGAGCTTGAACCATTGACCTTGTGGTTCAAACTGACCTTGCAGTCCAGTGCCACACCAGGACTTGTCTTAAGAGTCATTACTACAATTTTACTATCAGGCAAATGAATGAATGAAATGTCTTATGTTTTCTGCTAAACTCTATATCCTTTACTATAAAATGAAAGGTTCAGTAATAGAAATTATCTTTTTCTTGTCTCCATGGAGTATTTTACGTCATATAAAATGACTTTTTCAACTTTAAGATGTTCTGTGATATTCTTATCTAGCATTTTAAAAAAAATTTGCTAATGACCTGATAGTTTTCCTCGCTTTTTAAGAATTTCCCATCTAAAATCTCTTCTCCCTTCTGACCTTTTTTGTGTGTTTGCTGCTACTTTCCTTACTTAAAAACTATCTTTTTGTTGTCTCTCATTCACCCTCCTTTGTGAAATAACTTTTTTCTTCTGTTTTATATCTTTCTTTCCTTAATCACATCACACCTAAACTGTTTCTACAGTCTCTTGATCCACTTCTTCATCTCCAGACTTTTCTTATAGTCCAGCCTAAACAATACTCCAGATTGCTGTATTACTGTTTCACTGTGACACTTCCCTGCCTCAAACATTCATTGGCTCCCCTTTGCTTATGAAGTGGATTCCATACTCCTTAGTTCTTCATGATCTTCACCGACCTTTTAGAAATGTGCTACATATACAAACCTAATGAGATTAGTATTGCCCCTCCAAAAGACTTTACATTTTCCTACATGCCAGCTTTGTTCATACTATTGCCTCCATGAAAATATCATTTGTCAGGGCTAAATTTGCCCATACTAACCAGTGCCCTAATGTCTCAGTGTACCATGATGATTCATTCCTGGAGTTTTGTTCTTCATAGGACTCTATTTACAGAATCATAATATTTTGCCTTGCCTCTATATAAATTCCTAACAATATTGTGGTAATCTATGTTGGTGGGAAGAAATGGTAGAAACGTACAATATTATCAGCCAAAACAAGACCCAGGGACAGACCGTGGAGTAGACCATTCCTTGTTCCTCTTAAAATTCAGGATGAAGTTCTAGAAAATTTCAAAAAAAAAGTCCCTGAGAGCCAAAATAATGATCATGAATATACCCCACCTGAATTTAGAGATCATCTCAGGAATAGACATGATGCATTAGACACTAATGACCAAAGAACAAAGGGTTTGTGTACTGACATCAAGAACATTATACAGGAAGAAAGTAAAAGGTCATTAAAAAGGCAGGAAAGAAAAGAAAAGACCAAAATGGATGTCAGAAGAGACTGAAACTTGGTCTTACTTGAATGGAAGAAATAAAGCAGTCAAAGACCTGAACAAAAAATTTTCAAAGGGCAACTGAAGAAGACAAAATCAAACATTATAATGAAATGTACAGTGACCTGGAGTCAGAAAAACAAAAGACAGGAACAGTCTCAGCATTTCTTAAGCTGAAAGAGCTGAAGAAAAAAATTCAAGCTTTGACTTGCAATAGTGAAAGATTTTATGGGCAAAATATTTAATGATGCAGAGAGCATCAAAAGAAGATGGAAGGACTCAAAGGGAACACAGAAGCAACCATGTAAGCTTGCCGGCAACCATGGTGATCTACTGGTGAGTGGAAGAGGGGACAGGCACCAATGAAGATATGGGCTGAGTTCGACCACGTTCCAAAAACTCCCATCAACCTGGATGAGAGAGAAAAGGAAGGACTGGTTGGTTCGAAGTGTGGTGAGACATGGGGACTCCTGAGCCCATGGACAAGGACATAGCCATAGAGGGCAAGTGCTGAGTGTAAAGTGTCCAGATGATATGAAGTGAGGGAAGATGCACAAGAACACTCAAACTTGAAGATAGTACCCATTCTACCTAGCTTCAATGGCTTGATGATCAGAACTTGACTAGAGGAAGATATTTAATTTTTTTTTCTGATGTAGGAAACAATGTAAATTGCTACAGTTTGATGGACTTGACCTATACTTAATGGCTGTAGTCACTCAAAATACCAGCTGAAAGGAAAAGAGACTTCACATCAAGGATCAAGCCTATCCCCTTGGTATACAGGGTTGATAGGGACAGGCAACTTAGACATTGGCTACCTAAAATGGGGGGTGCTATAAAGGCACAAAGTGACTGTCTTACAAGTTTTCGGGAGGCACTTTAGTTTCAGAGTGTATGGGGGAAGGTGGAATCCCCACTGAATAGTTTCCATCTTGTCTGTTGACAGGTATGGTGAAATGGGTAGAGGATAGGATTATTATGATTCAATAGTGAGTAACTGTTATCATGACTAGTTGGAACTGTCACAATTGTAAGGGTGGAAGTTTTATAACAAAAAAGGGGGTGTAGTTAATCTTACAGTCCAGGAATAGAGGACCCTAGGACCATCAAGGGAGCAGAACATGAGCGTAAAGTTGGACCCTATCCAGAGAAGCAGCGACACCAGAGATCGAGGCAGAGATGGGGACACGGAGAGAGAGAGCAGGTGAAGACTCTAGACTCATGGAAAGAGAAAAGCTGTGTGCCGTAGCCAGGAGGCAAGCTTGTAGAATGTGCCCTTTGGTTGTTTAAATGATTATATATTCTGGAGTGTTTTTGTGTACATCCCCCCAAAACAAACAAACAAACAAACAAACAAAAACAGAGGGAATAGAAGCCAAATACTGTTGAATGAAATACACGGAGGAGATTGTAACCATTGCAATGAAATGATGAATATAAAACCAGTGTTCTCCCATGTAAATTATCATTCAATTCACAATAAAAAAACTTGAGGGAAAAAAAAAAAACAAAAACAAGAAGATGGAAGGAATACACAGTCACTATACCATTTCGTTCTGTTATATTAATCTAATCTTTTTAATATACCAATGTCTGAGGAACATGAACAGACAATGACAATTCTATTTTTTAAACCTCTTAAAGCCCTTAAAAAGGAGCTCTGGTAGCGTAGTGGTTACGAATCGGGCTGCGAACCTCTCAGGGTCAGCAGTTTGAAACTACCAGCTGTTCCACGGGAGAAAGAAGAGACTTTCTGCTCCTGTAAAGATTTACAGCCTCGGAAACCCTGTACAGGGTCGCTATGAGTCAGAACTGACACCACGGCACATAACAACAACAACAGCATACCAAAAAGAAATGGTTGATGTTCAGTCATTTCAAAAAGTAGCGTATGAGCAAGAGCTAATAGTACTGAAGGAAGAAGTGCAGGGTGCGCTGAAGGCCTTGACAAAGAACAAAGCTCCAGGAATTGATGGAATACAAATGGAAATCTTTCTACAAACTGATGCAGCACTGTAGGCACTCACTGATCTATGCCAAGAAATTGGACGACAGCTACCAGTTCAACTGATTGGAAGAGATCCATATTTGTACTCGTTCCAAAGAGACATGATCCAATGGAATGTGGATATCATTGAACAATATTAGTATCACATGCAAGTAAAATTTTGCTTAAGATAAGTCAAAACTGTTGCAACAGTCCATCAACAGAACTGTCAGAAATGTAAGCCAGATTCAGAAGAGAATGTAGAACTAGTGATATCATTGCTGATGTCAGATGGATCTTGAAAAAGCAGAAAATACCAGAAAGATGTTTGTTTACTTTTGCTTTCTTGACTGCAAACAAAGGCTTTCAACTGTGTGGATCACTACAAACTAGGGGTAATATTGAAGAATGGGTATTCTAGAACACTTAAAAGTGTGTTCATGAGGAACCTGTACGTAAAACAAGATGCAGTTGTTAGAAAAGAACAAGGGGATACTAAATGGTTTAAAATAAGGAACAATGTATGCCAGAGTTGTATCCTTTCGCCGTATTTATTCATTCTGTATGCTGAACAAATAATCCTAGAAGATGGATTATAGGAAAAAGACTGAGGTACTAGGATTGGGTGAAGACTCATTAACAACCTGTGATATGCAGATGATACAACCTTGTTTGCTGGAAGCAGAGAGGACTTAAAATACTGATGTATATCAAAGACTACAGCCTTCAGTATGGATTGTACCCCAATGTAAATAAAGAAAACATAAGTCCTTACAGCCTGAGCATTGAATAACATCTTGATAAATGGGGAAAAAATTGGGGTTGCCAAAGACTTTATTTTACTTGAATCTACAGTCAACACTCATGGAAGTAGCAGTCAAGAAATAAAATGACGTATTGCATTAGGTACATCTGCTGCACAAGATTTCTTTAAAGTGTGGAAGAGCAACAATAACAGCTTCATTACACTTAGGTGAACCTGACCTAAGCCATGGTGTTTCAGTCTCCTCATAATCATGTGAAAGTTTTGACAGTGAATAAAATAAGGAAGACCTTGAAAGAAACGTATGCATTGAATTATGATGTTGGAAAAGAATGTTAAAAGTACCATGGACTGCTGGAAGAACAAACTAATCTGTGTAGGAAGTAGTACAGCCAGGATGCTGTACTTAGAAGCCAGGATTGCAAGACTTTGTCTCTTATAGTTCAGGCATGTTATTAGGAGGGACTAATCCCTGGAGAGGAGTTCTGGTGTGGCATCATAGGATAAGCACTGGACTGCAAGGTCGGTTTGGACCTCAAGGTCAGTGGTTCAGACTCACCAGCCTCAGAAACCCTATACAGGGTCACTATGAGTCTGACTTGAGAACACTTAACAGCAGCAGCAAGTTCCTGGAGAAGGGCGTCACACCTGTTAATGTGGAGGGTCAGAGAAAAGAGGTAGACAGACCCCTGGTGAGATGGACTGACACAGTGGCAGTAGCAATGGGCTCAAATGTAACAACAATTGTGAAGATGGTGCAGGACCACAGTGTTTCATTTTGTTCTGCATAGGGTCACTATGAATCAGCACCAAACAATGACAACAACATCACTGTGTTTGAAACATCACACAGGTAATGTTTGTTCAAATCAAAGGACAAGTACTAAAGAGAAATGAAATCCTTAAATTCAGAAAGCTGTGTTAAAGCCCCAGCATTTGGGATTCATTTGTCGAATTTCACATTAACTTGCATACAGTAAAACTTTTTTTCATGGTTTCACGGGACCCTTACTGTAAGAACCAAAGCTGTAACTATATTTTTAATAATCAGGAACAATTTCTCCTATGACTTCCCCATGCCATGTTTCTTCACTCCTGCAGTCCTCCCTCTGAGTTAGAGCTCCTTCCTCTGAATTCTCAAGGACTTTGTGTTTACCTTTAACGTAGCAGTTGTCACACACTATTGTAGTTGTCTTTCTCTCCTCCAGCTTCTCCATTGGATGGCGAGCTCCTTCCATTCAGAATATTTTAGTTTGCTTTATATTTTTTGCTCTTAAATTAGTAGCTGGCATGTCATAGGCGCCCAATAAATGTTTGTGATTCAGGGGTGACAAAACAAACAAAACCCTTCCCCTCAAAAAATTAATGAATCTTTTAAGACCTATTTGTCTGAAAGCTCATCGTTAGGAATAGAAATGATTACTAATACATAGTTTCTGTCCATAAGGAGTTTATGATCCTTCAGTGATTTGTATGCTTCATTATGGTTGAGTACTAATTTGCAAATATTTATTTGTGTGTCATTTAAGTTTAGCTGTATTTTTAATTTTCACATTATCTAGACTTTCTAGAAACTGAGTAATTATTATTAACAAATGTACAGTAAACACCTGTTGTGAGCCAGGACTTCTGAGAGATGAGGGCACAAAGATGAGTCACATAAATTATTTATGATTTCTGTAGAGTCTCATGCTAAAATTTTTGTGCTCTGAGAGAAGATACTTAAAACTAAATTACATTTGTGATTCTTTCACTTTTTGGAGGAAGGAGAGAGGTAACAACTGGAATGGAAAGCTGATTCCTAACACAATCCTTTTATTTATTTGAAAAAAATTTTAAAAGAACCACCCCTCAAGCGCTAAAGAAATTCGAGAACTGATTTCTTTATGCAGATATGACATTAGTGACATTGTTGCCTCGGTGTGGATCCCAAGTTTATTAAATTAAGGGGTGGGGGAAGAGGAGCCCTCCCTTGAACAATCACCTTAGAGTAATAAACACAGAGAAAGAGAGAAAATACATCATAGAGGAAATCAGCCTCTACTATTATATTAGGAAAAACAATAATATGGTTCTTCAGGTCCCTTTTGATTAAATTAATTTGAAAACCACATTGCTTTAAGTGTCTGTATTGTGTTTGCCCTAATAGCACACCAAAGAACATGCAGTCATTGCTTCTAAAATTTTATGTTTGAGGATAGCACAGTAAAATACATGTACTTTAAAAAAAAAAAAAATTGTACTTTATTAATTCTGGGAATAAATATTTTCAGCATCTTTAAAGGATATGGCATATGGTTCTGTTCTTTTGGAAGTTTAAACAGAATATAAAACAAAATTTTGCTTATTTTCAGGAAGTCCTATATCCATTTTAAAGGGTCTGCACCACCTCCTCGCTTAGCATCCATTTTGGCCTTTATCCTCCAGCTCTCCAAGGAAACAAACACAAACATTTGTGATGTGGAACTACTCCTCCCTGATGTCTTAAAATGCTTGGTGTTGGTCAATGAACCCCAAGGTTAGTTCTTATATAAGGTTATATTTGTCATCCTTTTCTGTTCATAATTTAAGGAACTACTCTTTCCCATTAGGTAAGCTAATAGTGTGATTATTGATGCTTTTGAGTTATGGTGTGTTGGAGGAGAATGTTGAAGGTGTCATGTGCTGCCAAAAGAACCAACAGATCTGTGTTGGAAGAAGTGCAGCCAGAGTGCTCCTTGGAGGCCAAGATGGCCAAACTTCGTCTCTCATACTTCGGACATATTGTCAGGAAGGACCAGTCGCTAGAGAAGGATATCATGTTTGGTAAGGTGGAGGGTCAGAGAATAAGAGGAAAACCCCCAGTGAGATGGATTGGCCAAGTAGCAGAATTGATAGATTCAAGTGTGGCAACAGTTGTGAGGTTGGCCCAGGATCAGGCAGTGTTTCGTTCTGCTGTGCATAAGGTTGCTATGAGTCGGTACCTACTTGATGGCACCTAACAACAACAATGTAAACCATGGGTAAAGAACAGTAGCTGAGATTGGCACACAAAAATGGTAAAAAAAAAAACCAAAAATCTATCTTTTATGTTTCAGTTTAGTTTTGCTTATTGCTTTTCACCTAAAGACAAATAGTTTACATATGGGCTATTTCCTTTCATTAGACTTATTCTCCTCTAAAAGAATATCTTTTCACTCTGACTCTGGTGTTTAATATGACTTGTTAAATAATCAAGTGATGAGGGGTCAGTGTACTATTATTTAGGTTTCTGTTAGAATGTCTAAACTGATACTTTTTTTGAACAAACCTGTAAGATTGCATTGATCCTACTTGTTTTGTTTTCAGTCTCATCCTTGATCTCTTAAAAACAGCATTTATTTACAAAGCATGTGAGTAGCATACTATAATCAGTCATACATGGATCCAGAAGGAGATTTTAATGTAAATAAGGTGTTCTCTGTGTGTTTAGCATTATAATGTGATTGTTCAGACAGGACTTTTCAAAATTTCCACTTGAATTCTTATAACTGCCCTGAAGAATGAGGGCAGAACCAAGTGTGATATGCAAAAGTGCAACTGGTTCTTTGAAATGTTGTTTTATGTTGAAGAAAACATAGCATATTTGTAATTAACATATATATATTTACAGTGTTCCTTTCTGCTTTTAAGTTTGGTTTTGGGGAAAATGTATGTTTATATTGAATTTCCTTACTTGATGGTAGGTATCATCCCCTTCATTGAAGAACATCCAAAGATGCGCCCCAGACTTTTCTTTAGAAAGTTTTCCCTAAAACTTGAAAACTTATATGTGTGTGAGTGTGTGTGTGTGAGAGAGAGTCCTGGTGTTGCACTACAGGTTCATGTGCTGGACTCCAATGACAGTTTGAACTGCAAGGTTGGCAGTTCAAAGCTCACTAGCTACTCCTCGGAAACCCTATCTCCAGGGTCTTTATGAGTCAGAACCAACTCTATGGTACTTAACAACAACAATCATACTTCAAAACAAAACACATAATTATTTCATTTTGAACACTAACAAAAAAAGCATGTACATACTTTTAGAAAACAACATATTTTTTTTCTAAATCAGAAATGTTCCTAAAAATAAGGATCCAGATGGCCAATTGAGACACAGTGTATAATGCGGTTATTTTTCCCTCTAGTTAAAAGGCTGGCCACAGAGAACCTGCAAAACATGGTAAAAACCTGCCAAGTGGGGTCAGAAGGAGAACCTGCCGCCCAGCTGATTTCTGTGTTTAGGTAACTGGAAAATATGCCAACTGGCAGGGAAACCATTGCCAGGCATTTGACAGCCAACATGTTTCTTAAATAACTAATTATCCAAAACATAATGTGTTACTACTACTTGTTTATAGTATTTCAATTATTGCATTTTTGGCAGAGGTTTTGTTACATTGTGTTGTTTTATTATAAGGAAAATGTGCCTAGGAAAAAGGTAAGTAAGCTTACTACAAAAGTACTTTAGAATTTAGTAAGGAAGAACCCCCTGCATGTAGTTGAGAGGAAAAAGTTGGAGACGTGAGTCATAATGGCAGGTGCATAGGCCTTCAGAGCCTGTGAAACATGTTAGATGGGGTGCAAAATAGAAGTGCATGTCTGTATTTTTCTTACTTACTCTGTTCTGTTTTATTTGTGCAGCATAGACATTGTAAAAGTGGTCTTTTGGCCGTAAGAATTGCAGTATAACTAGAAGAACATTTTCTGTGTGTTTTAACGTCTCTCACAATTTTTATAAGCTCACCTTATGGCACATATTTCTACTGTAGCACCACCATGAGAAAGAATCTGAGTCCGTTTCCTTCATTGTTTGTTGGATCTTTGACTCCTCAGTTTTTAGCTCATCACATGATGCTGGTCAAGTATTTACAGTTTATTTAAAATGCAGTCATTTGATAGTACATTTGTGAAAAGGTAAAGTGTTAGGAGGGAGAACAGTATGTTCTATAAAATGATTAGGCATTTGTTATCTACAATTTTATTAAGCTAAACTGGTTTGGTCTTGTTGATTTAGGGAGGGTGAAAATAGTAGGACTTAAATATACTATATTTATAAAATCCTTCTAGGAGTCTGGAGTCTCTTGTTTAGTTAAGGAACATAATATATTTTGAATGACTTGCTTTACTCATAAAAGTAATGTTTGATTTATCTAGATATATGAAGGTCTGAAAAATAACTAGGAACTTGATTCTTTTTGCCCTTTTTAGACTTACCCCATCACCAAATTTGGAAGGAAAGAAGATAGTAAAAAAAAGTCCCTGAGTTTAGATTTTTTTCCCCCTTAGCTGGAATTTCAATTCATTCCGTATCACTACCAATGCCATGCCTTTGGTATTGGATCACACCAAAATAAATCATTTCTGTTCTTTATTTTAAAGTGTTGCAGATTATCTTTATACCTCATTTACGTTCTTGTGGCAGTCTTGCATGAAATGTTCTTTCTTAAGTCCAGGCTACAGCTGCCTACCATGCAAGTAACCCTACATACCCTGTTTTATTTTTCAGGCAGTTTATCCAGGATTACAGCATGAGATACCATTATCAGGTTTACAGCATCTTGGAAACAGTAGCAACATTGGACCAGCAGGTGGTTACCCACTTGATTTCTACACTTACTCAAGCTCTGAAGGATTCTGAAGTGAAATGTGGCCTTGGTAGAAATATTGCACAAAGGTATGTTTGCTGATTTGATTGTGTTCTTTTGAGCAGTGATTATAAAATCTAGATTCATTTTATAGAAGTGACTTATTTCCTCATTCCCCAAAATTTGGGATGTGTTTGAGCAAAAAAATATTGTTTCAATACTCTCTTACCAGTTCATAATGTGTGATCAGAAAGTAATGGGTATATCAACGAACTTGGAAAAACTGACACCGTTCACATATTGTTCCTTTCTAAGTGACCATGTTAGAAAGTGGCTTATTTCAGTTGTGCTGCTATTGCTCAGAACATATTTCGTGTTCATCATTAGACAGAGGACTTCAGAGCTTTGAGTGTCTTATTTTAATATAAAATCCATGGTGACAAATCATAACCCTTTGAGGCATGCTCAATTTATTGAACCAATTCAATCCTGTGTCCTCTACTTCTCTGTGAGTTTGTTGTTCTGTCGTACTGAATTCTGTGTTGCTGTCATGCTGTAAGCAATGCCACTGGTATTTTCGTTACCAGCAGCATCACCCAAGGTGGACAGGGTTCAGCAGAGCTTCCAGATTAAAACAGACTAGGAAGGAGACACAGACCACTTCTCAAAGGTTAGCCACTGAAAATCTTATGAATAGCAACAAAACATTGCCTGATGTAGTGCCAGAAGATAAACACTGAAGGTTGGAAGGCGCTCAAAATACTCCTAGGGAAAGAGCTGCCTACTGGAGTTGACCTTAATGGTGTGGATGGAGCAAAGCTTTTGGAATCTTTATTTACTGATGGGGCACAACTCAAAATGAGGAGACAACCTAAACATCCATTAAGAATCTGAAACTGGAATGTATGAAGTATAAATCTAGGAAAATTGGAAGTCATAAAAAATGAAATGGAATGCATAAAGATCACTATCCTAGGCATTAGTGAGCCGAAAGGGACATGTGTTGACCATTTTGAATTAGATATTTATATGCTTTACTGTGCCGGAAATGACAAATTGATGAGAAATGACATTGCATTCATCGTCAAAAAGAGCATTTCAAGATATATCTTGAAGTGCAATGCTATCTGTATCTGTGACAGGATAATATCCATATGTTTACAAGGAAGACCAGTTAATAACCATTATTATTCTAATTTACACACCAACCACTAAGGCCAGTGATGATGACGTTGAAGAATTATACCAGCTTCTTCAGTCTGAAATTGATCAGACTTACAGTCAAGATGCATTGATAATTACTAGTGATTTGACTCAAAAGTTGGAAACAGAGAAAGGGTCAGTAATTGAAAAATATGGCTTTGGCGATGTTTTAAATGATGCTGGAGATACCATAATAGAATATTGCAAAACCAATGATTTATTCATTACAAATACTGGTTTTGGGGTTTTTTTTTTTTAGCAACATACAGGTGGACCTCATTAGACAGAATATGCAGTAATCCAATTGACTACATCCGTGGGAAGAGACGATGGAAAAGGTCAATATTATCAGCCCAACAAACAAGGTCAGGGACCAACAATCATCCATTGCTCATATGCAAATTAAAGCTGAAGCTTAAGAAAATCCAAACAAGTCCATGAGAGCTTGAATCTGTTGTTTGAAGCTATCAAGCCAGTTCTGACTCATAGCAACCCTGTGTAGTGTTTTTGAGAGTGGCTAGTGAGTTTGAACTGTCAACCTTGCGGTTAGCAATCCAGTGTTCATTTTATTCTACAGAACCACACCAGGGCTCATTTCCCAACTGAATTTGAAGACCATCTCAAGAACCGACCAAGGACCAGAAGAATTATAGGATCATATCAAGAGTATCACACATGAAGAAAGCGAAAGGTCATTAAAAAAACAGAAAAGGAGGAAAAGACCAAAGCTGATGTCAGGAACAACTCTGAAACTTGCTCTTGAATGTAGAGAAAGAAGCTAAAGTGACTGAAAGAAATGATGGAAAAAAAGAATTGAACAAAAAACTTCAGAGGGAAGCTCAAGAATACAAACTATTATAATGAAATGTGCAAAGACATAGAGTTAGAAAAACAAAAGGGAAGAACATGTCCAGCATTTCTCAAGCTGAAAAAGCTAGAGGAAAAATTCAAGCCTCGGGTTGCAATATTGAAAGATTCTATGAACAAAATATTGTATGGTACTGCGAGTTAATGTGATGGACTGCAATGTTAGTTTGAACCACAAGGTCAGTGGTTCAAGCTCGCCAGCCGGTCCTCAGAAATCATATACAGTGTCACTTTGAGTTGGAACCGACTCGACCGCACTTAGCAACAACAATAGTGGTCAAAATATTGAATGATGCAGGAAGCATCAAAAGAAGATGGAAGGGAATACACAGTCACTGCACCAAAAAGAATGGGCCGATGTTCAGTCATTTCAAGAGGTAGCATATGATCAAGAATCCATGATATTGAAGGGAGAAGTACTGAAGGCACTGACAAAAAACAAGGTTCCAGGAATTTGCAGAATACCAATTGAAATGTTTTAACAAACAGTGCAATGCTGGAGTTATTCTCTAGGCTCTACCAGGAAATCTGAAAGGCAACTACCTGGCCAACCGATTAGAAAAGGTCCATATTTGTGCTTATTCCAAAGAAAGATGATCACCGAACAGTATCACTGATATCGCGTACAAGTAGAATTTAGCTGAAAATAATTTTAAAATTATTTTAGCAGTACATCTACATGGAGCTTCCAAAATTCGAACCTGATTCAGAAAAGAACATGGAACAAGGGATAATAAGTGATTGATCGTGGCTGAAAGCAGAGAATACCAAATAGATGTTTACTTATGCTTGAGTGATTATGTAAAGGCATTCGGCTATGTGGATAAGAATTGGAAAAAAGGAAATTCCAAAACACTTAAGTTGTGGTCATGAGAAATCTGTATCAGACCAAGAGGCAGTGGTTAGAACAGAACAAAGGGAACTGAATGGTTTAAAATCAGAAAAGGTGTGTGCCAGGGTTGTATCTTTTTACCATACTTATTCAGTCTGTATGCTGAGCAAATAATCAGAGAAGCTAGATTATTTGGAGAAACACATGGCATCAAGATTGGAGGAAGACTCATTAATAACCTGCAATATGCAGATAACACAACTTTGCTTGCTGGAATTAAAGAGGACTTGAAATACTGAGGAAGTTCCCAAGACTACAGCCTTTAATATGGATTGCACCTCAATGTAAAGAAAATGAAAATCCTCAAAACTGGACCAATAAATAGCATCATGATAAATGGAGAAAAGATTGAAGTTGTTAAGGATTTAATTTTGCTTGGATCCACAACCAAAAGTCAAGGAGGCAGTCAAGAAATCAAAATAGATATTGCATTAGGCAAATCTATTACAAAAGATCCCTTTAAAGTGTTAAACAACAAAGATGTCACTTTGAGTACTAAGGTGTGCCTTAGTACCTAAGACCCAAGCCATGATTTTCAGTAGCATCATATGCATGTGAAAGTCGGACAATGAATAAATAAGGCTGCAGAAGAATCAGTGCATTTGGATTATGGTATTGGCTAAGTATATGGAAAATTCCATGAATTGCCAGAACTAACAAACAGCTTTGTCTGGAAGAAGTACAGCCAGACTGTGCCATAAGAGTGAGTGTGGTGAGACTGCATCTCTCATATTTGGGACATGTTGTCAAGAGGCCACTGGTCCTTGGAGAAGGAAGGACATCATGCTTGATAAAAGTGGAGGATCAGTGCAAAAGGGAAAGATCCTCAAGGCTCAAACATAAGAATTGTGAGGCTAAAACAGGACAGGGTAATGTTTCGTTCTCTTTTGCATAGTTGCTGTTATTATTAATGGACTTGATGGCACACAACAACAACAACATATCGTGTGTCTGGTGAACAAAGCAGAGTGTCTAATTAAGATACTGTGGGTTTGGATCAAAAAAAAGTTACTATGGTTTTTATTTTTCTTACAGGTTTTTAACCCAACTATATTGTATTGTTCTGGGTTATTTAGAATATTTGCAACATTGTGGAATAAACCAGTAGATCTTAAAAATATCGTTTGAATGGGCCAGCATTCACACTAAAATTCATATGTTCAAAGTCTGTTAAAAAATGAAAGCAACATGTGTGTGTGTTTATCTAACATTTAACTTCTCTGAGTGATCTGCAACTGTAACTGAAAAAACTGGATAGACTCTATGTGACCCACTCTGTGTTGCTGGGACACATGTCCTGCTAGACTGTAACTTTACATGGACAGAAGTACCCATGAGGAGGATTGTTTTAAAGATTCTAAGTAGCATAGGTATTTAGGTTCATGAAATACCTGCCAGCAGGCACAATAAATCTACATGCCACCACGAGTACAGGGAAATACTGGAGAATTGGACAGGGGAAACAAATGTTTTATAGGCAAACTTTATTACTTCTAGGACTTTAAGGAAGACAATGGGTTATATACTAAAATTTTTATACAACTCAATTTTGTGATTATGGAATTTTTGTTTTAACACAATTGTGACAGAAGTCTTCACCTTTTAATCATAACATCATTGTCTACTTAGCAATATTCATGCGCATATTTCTTCACCTGTCAGCATTGTATTATTTTAGATGGCTAATGAACTTTTCCACATACCCTTTAGCTACAAGGAGCTCTGGTAGTGTAGTGGTTATGAGTTGTGCTGCTAACCTCAAAATCAGCTGTTCCGCAGGAGAAACATTCAGCTTTCTACTCCCATAAAGATTTTACAGCCTCGGAACCAACTCCACGGCACACCACCATCACATTTAGCCCATATTTTTATATACAAGTCAGAGAAAATATTTTTCGATAAATCCTAATATTTAACTTTTTTCTTCATAAAAGTAGTTATCTACCAAACATTGTGAAAACTATGCAAACAAAATAAAATAAAATAGATGATTGGGGCATACTAAAAATTAGAAACTTAGGCGCATCAAAAGATTTTACCAAAAGAGTAAAAAGGAGAGCCAGAGAATGGGAAAAAATATTTTGCAACAGCATATCAGACAAGGGACTCATTTCCCAAATCTATAGGAAACTACAATACCTCAACAAGAAAAAGACAACCCAGTTAAAAAATGGGCATAGGATATGAACAGAATTTTTGTTTTAACACAAAGGAAGAGATTTGGGCAGCCAACAAACATATGAAGAAATGTTCACGATCATTGGCCATTGTTGTTGTTATGTGCTGTCGAGTCGATTCCAACCCACAGCAACCCTGTATAGCGTTTCCAAGGAACAGCTGGTGAGCTTGAACCACACCAGTCTTGCGATTCAAACGACTTTGCATGCAAATCAAAACAATGAGATATCATCTCACATTAGCAACAACAGCAAAGTTTAAAAATGCAGAGAACAGTAAATGCTGGGGAGGATGTGGAAAGACTGGGACCCTACTACATTGCTGATGAGAATTCAAAATGGTCCAACTACTCTGGGAAACAGTATGATGCTTCCTCAGAAAGTTGGAAATAGAAATACTGTATGATCCAGCAATCCCTCTACTTGGTATATATCCACAAGAAATATGAGCTGTAACACAAGCAGATATGTACACACCAATGTTCATAGCAGCACTGTTCACTGTAGCAAAAAGATGGAAACAGCCTAAGTGCCCATCAATGGAAGAATGGATAAACAAACTGGTACATACACACAATGGAATGCTATGCTACCTTGAAGAATAACAAGGAAGCTGCAAGCCACCACATAACATGGATGAACCTTGAGGACATTGTGCTGAGTGAAATTAGTCACAAAATGACAAATATTGCATAAGACCATTATTGTAAAAGCTTAAGAAAAGATACCCATACTAAAAAGAAGACAAATAAAAGTAGTATCTAATTGTGCTGTTAATATATAATGTAGCAAATAATTTATACTTAAATGAAAAATAATTTTTAAAAGATAGTAAATATATTTGCTTTCTCTTGCTTTTTCTTTTAAAACAGGGAAACCTATAGCAAACTTTTATTTCACCTTGGACAAGAGGGACAAGATGAGATTCAGAGGCTGGAAAATGAAACTACCTAATTATATTTGTGATTTATCCTCTATTGGTTATCACAATCTAAAGACACTTTGTACCTCTCAGACTCCTACTTTTAACCAATTATATTCTTTTAAAAAATATTTTCTAAGATAAGTTTGAATCTACCTGTAAGTATAAAATATATAAACAAATAAAGGTTAATTAACTATGTTATAGGATCCTTAGAATTGAAGAAATGTTTTCTAGCTTAGAGTGTTTTCTCAGTTTGTATCGATTGTTTCATCAACTTTTTACTTTGATATGTCTTCCTGCGTTGAGACTTGATTTGAATAGGGTTTTTTTGTTTTGTTTTGTTCACATTATCTGGTTTTTTTTTTGTTTGTTTGTTTTTTTGTAGGGAAAGGAGGGTACGATAGGAGAAGAGATGATTTGTTTTTGTTTTCTTATTGTAAAATACAATAAGAAATACACTTTCTTACTGTATTTCATGTTCATACATAAAACCTTATAAAATATACTTTAACTCTGTTAGGTCTGAGTCTTTATCTGACTAAATGATTGCATGTTTAATTTCTAAAGACTTAAATTCTTAAATTTAAGCCTGCAATGTTTATTCCTAGGTTGCTAGATTTCTTTTCTACTCATTCTTCCTGTAAGAATTGTCATTAAAAGATATATTATGGAGAAGAGAAACAAGAGCCTTTAAGATAACAGAATGAATCATCAGTTCAGGAGTCTTTTAAGATTACAAATTACCAGAAGCTTTGGGGAAGTTGGCTAATTTGTTTGCTTGGTCTTCAGGCAGACCCCTCTTATGACTTAAGAATCTTATGCATTTATAGGGACCCAGTTTAGTTTCCATTAACAGCTGTTATCTCTCAACTTTTAGCCCGATCTCATCAAAATTGTTTAATTATCAGCAAGATCTTTGTCCTTGACTCCTTTTTGTTTGTGAAGATCATTTGGTAGAAAGCGCTTCATTCCCACCTGGATTTCAGTCCAGCTCTGCTTTGTGACCTTGAACAAATTACTTAACATTTCTGAATCTCACTTTCTTCCTGGAGAAAAAGAATAGTTATTTATTTTTTCTCTTTTTTACAGTATGAATGTAAGAATTAAGGGGATACTCTTATGTGACAGTATTTGCAGGCCTGTGTTCAGTTTGGAGGTGTACAAATATAAGTACCATAATCCTCATGCACAGGAAAGCCTAAAAACACCTCTCAGTTTCATTTTGAGATGATAGATCCTAGACGAATGATCCTGCTTTTTAAAATGTTTTCTTAAATACTGTATTTGCTAACTTAGAAATAATTTTTTTTTTCCTTTGAACTCTAGTCTTATCAAGGTTGTATTATTACTTCCAGAGTCCTGATGTGGCGCTATAGGATAAGCACTGTCCTGCTATCCACAGGTCGGCAGTTCAAACCCACCAGCTGCTTCTTGGAAACCCTATATGGGGTTGCTATGAGTCAGAACCAACTCAAAGACACTTAGCAACAACAACAGCTATTACTTTCAGAGACTATTTCTTTCTTTTTTTTGTGGGGGGTGGCGGCTCTTGAAGTTTTGTTTTGTTTTTCCATGAATTACGTTACAGTCAGCATTCACTGGTTGTTGTTGTGAAGTTCTGCTGTGCTCTCCTAATTCTAATCTGTGAAGTCCAGAAGAGTGCCTGTTATATTGCATATAAATGGTATTTTTCCCTTTTAAGTCAACAGCATGCATAATTCGTAGAAGCTTTTCCTATCCTATAAACGCTTCATACTCTAGTGAGCAAAGTTCTCAAAAGATACTACAACAAATGAAATCATGAAAACCTCCTTGGTGGTGGTGGTGGTTGTATGCCATCGAGTTGGTTTTGATGCATAGCGTGACCTTGTATAGGGTTTCTGAGGCTGTAAATCTTACTGGAAGCAGAAAGCCTCTTCTTTCTCCCACGAGCAAATGGTAGATTTAAACTACTGACCTCGGCAGTTAGTAGCCTGTCGTAATCCATTTACATAATAAACTTTGTAGCAATTCGTTTCTTTTCATTATGATAGTGATTTATTAAACTTAACAGATTGCTTTACACTGTTTCAGCAACTGGAGTAGCATCTATTTTAAAATAAGGTGATGTCGCTACAGAGGTTACATATGTTTATATATTTTTGTTTCCCAAGGTAAATCAATGACGGTATCCTTTGAAAATTTTGCTCATTACAGTATGAAGCTTTTCTAGGATAGGAATGCTGAGAATGGCTAGAGTTTGTACTTAAAAAAAATTAGTAACAAAAAAAAAGTCTTCAACAATACATGTACAGATGTTGTATATTTATAGACATGTAAAATTTTTATCCTTAATTGAAGAAATGTATGGCTCAGCTCCTTTTCTTGACAGTTTTCACTGATTCTTCATATCTTGCTACAATCTTGTTTTATTTCATTGCCTGACTTTGAGTACTTTAAGCTGAGTTCCTTATTTTTTCTTAATATTCATTTTCCCTTAGATAAACTGATTGCTAAGGCTACTGCTTTAACCTTTGTATCGTAAGCCTCTCTTTTGGTCCAAGCTGAGAGTATATTGTCTTTTCTCATGCTCATTGGCCTGACAAGTTCCCTTGTCTTCCCTCCCTTCTCAGAGATACTGCTCCTTCTCACATAACGTGTTACTTGAGAGCATCTTCACACTCTTCTTTTCCCAATGGGAAGATCTAGTTCTTCACCTCCTTTTTCTTACTGCTTTTCTAGTAATGTACTGATAATGGTGTTGGTGGTGGTATGCTGTGGAGTCGTTTCCAACTCATAGCAACCTGGCATAGGGTTTTCGAGACTGTAAATCTTTATGGGAGCAGAAAGCCTCATTGTTCTCCCAAGGAATGGCTGGTCATTTCAAACTACTGACCTTAAGATTAGCTGCCCAACTTGTATCCACTATGCTACCAAAGCACCTTGTACTGATAATACTAGCACATAATTTCATCTCTTAAACCATTTTCTAGTACTAATTTCTCACTAAATTTTTCTTGTAGAAACCTCCTAAAATCTTAGTTCTGCGTGGCAAGCTGCCCTTCCATTATAAATTTAAGTTTCTTCCCAGGGAATGCACTGTTTTCCCAGGTCACTTAGTCTTGAAACTTTAGTCATCTGGATTCCTCCTCATTCTTCCCCACTTTCAGCTGATCACAGTAGAACAGGCCGTTTCTTTTATTTTTGCATTCTGCTGGGCACTATACTTTCATTCTTCTTGTTTCTGGTATCCTTTTCTGGATTATAACACTTGAGAAAACAGTGTTTCTAAAGTATTTAGTTTCCTCTTGTTATTTTTTCTGCTCAAAGACCTTTCAGTGGCTTCCTGTTTAAAAGCTGACTTTCAAATCCTACAGACAGGGAGAGACTTTCTGCCATCTGAATCTATATTTTCTTTCCAAATTTACCTCCTTCCACGCAGGAGACTGTCTTTGCTATTTTTTCTGGATGGCATATTGGTTCTACATTTGAGCGCCATTCAGTTTGCCAGCCTGAAATATCACCCTTCCTATAGAAACCTGACCTTGTTGTTGTTGTTAAGTGCCATTGAGTCGGTTCAGACCCATAGCAATCCTGTATAGGGTTTCCGAGGAGCCTCTTGTGAGCTTGAACCGCCGACCTTGCAGTTCAAATGGCTTTGCAGTCTGGTGCATTAACCCGCAGCACCACACCAGGACTCCTCTAGAAACCTGACCTTAAGACACTTAAAAATGAATCAAATGAAAATACACTCAAGGATGCATGAGTATGCCAACCAAATAATTTCTGTAAAACACCAGATAGAGCGTAAAAGAGATAATTAAAGGACAACAGGATGATGAAATGACTTTATTAGACATTCAGATTTAGTTATGATTTAAATTTCAGTTTAACATTTAATTAGGAGGTCTCTGTGCTGGGGAAAAAAAAAAACATGAATTGTCTCTGTGCAAAAATTATTCATTATTGAGTTCATTTGCATCAGGATAGTTTCGTGGTTTACAACTTGTAACACGTTCTGACCTGAACTGTATTTTCTTTTCTCTTAAGTATGTTTGAAGAAAGTAATAATGTGTGGGTTCTTATACTGTTGGTGGGAGTCCTGGAGTGGCACTGCGGGGTAATGCACTGGACTGCTAACTTGGTCTGAATTGCACTGTTGGCGGTTCAAATTTACCAGCGGCTCCTTAGAAACCCTGTACAGGGTTGCTATGAGTCAGGGTCGACTCGATGGCACAACACAGAATCAGCGTGCTATTTGTCAATTTTCACTACTTTATCTTTTTCATGTTATTACTTCTTCCATGTTTCACCACAAATTTTTAACAGTATTTTGTTCTTTAAAGATTTACACGGAGCTCTTTACTGTACTTTCACATAAGAGATTTGTATTTTGATTCTGCTACCTGAATGGTAAGATAGACTTAGTACCTAGAAATTGAAATTGACCAGTTTCTGCTAATTAAAGTTTTTGATGCATAGATATCCATTTTATTACATTTGTAAATTGTGCTTTTAGAAAAATGCTTGACATTCTTACCATTACTAAATTATTTAAGCATATAATAAGAGATGTATATACATATATATACATGTGTTTATGTATAAAATATATAAAACACTTATGTTTAACCTCTACTGTGACCTAGTATGTGATTATTCAACGTTCTTTCCATGATTGATTGACTGAAATCCAAAATAAAATGAACCATGTTACCTAGAAGAACAACTTGTATTTTATACTCTGTGCTAAAATAATAGTTTTTCAATTATTGCTAAAGGGGATGTAATCTACATGCGGTTAAACGATGGAAGAAATATAAAGGTAAAAAGGGGTGGTGGTTGTGTGCTTTTGAGTCGATTCTGACTCAGCAACCCTGTATAGGGTTTCCAAGGCTGTAAATCTTTATGGGAGCAGAAAGATCCGTCTTTTTTCAGTGAAGTGACTGGTGAACTTGACCTGCTAACCTTGTAGTTGGCAGTCCAGTGTGTAACTCACTACCCCACTAGGGATCCTTGAAGAAAAAAGTGAAAATACCTTCTTCATAACCCAATTGGCATATTGTTAAGGGCTGTATTGCATTGTGGTTATTTTTCATTTTAGAGATACCTTTCTTTGCTGGCTTTTCCTACCACAGTAAGAATATTGTGCTATTATCTATATGGTGCATTTTGTTTTCTTTTTTATAAAGTAAAATTCTGAAAGCATGTTTAAATGTTTGTAAGCCTTACACTCATCATATGGAAATTCAAAGCAATCTAATAATATAAATACAAATACAATATGACTTTTTATTTTGAAGAGTGAAAACAGATGCACTTAAATGGGGACTATAGTTTGAGTCATTTCAATAGAATTTTGCTTATATGAATAAGCATCGTCTTCTAGATTTTTCTTATTTTCTTGTGCCACTGATAATTATCTGAATTTTTCTTTTTAGGGAAGGAATGCTATACTTTTTATGCTGCTGTTTAGGTATAACTGTAAAGGATTACTCAGAAAAGTATCCAAAATGTTTAGAAATTCTGAATTCAGTTCTGTAACACTTAACAGTGAATAATACATTATTATAAAGATCACCAAGGAGGGATTTCAAAATGCATGCTGTTCTATAGTATATGAATAGTTAGAAATTTATACAGGAATATTTGAGAATCGTTTTATTCTGTCTTTACCAGTCAGGCAAGTGTATTCTTCGGTTATCTTCCAGTCACTGGGCATGAAGTCCAGGAATACAAATAGATTTTAACCGATTTATTATGAAAATGGCTAGAGGGAAAAGGTGTGTTTTAAGTGGAATGTTAGTAAACCTGAAATATTTCTTGCTTCTAGGTCCTTGTTGAAAATATTTTCTAAGTGCTAAACTCGGTAATTCATCTTTAAAACTAGTTCAGATGGTGTACGCCTTTCAAAGAAGCTCTCTGTTAGCACCTTTTCATCCTTTAATCTGAATAACCGAAAGTTAAACATATTGATAAATTAATGTTTTAGGTATCTTATAACATAACTGTATAAAGTTAGTAACATATTTAGGATAAAAATATACTTTCTTCAGTTCACTTCTGATTACTAAAAATGGTTACGTGAATAGAGCAATAGTTTACTATTATAGATAAGGATTGCTGGATTATTAAATTATAGCAAGGGAAACAAGTCAGAGTAAAGTTTTTATTTCAATAAAGATGACTTAGGTCCTGACAAGATTTAGGAAAACCTCACATACTTGGTGAATTTATATTCAAGTATGATCATTGCATTGTATTTTTTGTTGTACACAAAGCAAATCTAAAAACCTAACCGAAAAAATAAATCGTACAGTGGCCTAACCTTTAACAAAGAGGGAAAATTTACTGCCAATTCTAATTTTAAATTGTTGTCAGGGTGCTTTCTTGTACCATAATTAAGACAAACTAAGTTTTTTGAGCTTTAAACTATAGTTTTTCATTGAATGCTTGAGAGATTTTTTTTTAAAGTTTGAGAGTTATTCCTCGAGGTAAGGAATTGTGCAAGCTGAGGAATTATAGGCTTGATAACGTTCCCTGTTTCCTAACTAGTGTCTCATACACTTTTCAGAACCATTTCTATCAGAGCATGTTTTCCAAATTCTACTTAGTCATTTTTAAACTTCAAAAAATAACTTCTGTGTTAATTTATAAGGTCCCTAAGACATCAAAATACCTTGTAATTTGACGTGAGTTTTTTTCTTAGGCAAAGTCCTTAAGAGTATTTTCCTAATACCCATAGCATTGTTTTGAATTAAGATGGGAACCAATAATCCTCCTTAAACAGAGAGCGCATGTAAAGTTAAGCTCTGGCCCAAGGTCACTGAATATCCCGGGCAAACAAGCAAGGTATTCAGACAGCTGTTACTAGTGTACTTCCATTATTTGTATCACCTTGAATAAATACAGAATTTCAGTTGTATTATGCCTAATGCTAAAACTCTTAAGTGGGAATATATAATATGAAATATTACAAACCAATGTGTATGTAATGAAGGGACTAAGTGCTGAAGTTTTTTTGTTTGGCTTTGTTTAAAGATCATTGATGCTATTGGTGTGAAATAAATTGCCTTACTAACAGTATCATTTTATCCTAGACAGCAGTGATTACAAAAAGTATACAAAGAATGCTCTAAAGACCCATGAAACAATAATGAACCATCAAGTTGGCACTAACCTCTATCATAGTAAAATAAAAGTCATACATATTGTATGTTGACATACAATGAGAAGGGTGACAGGAGGTTTTAATAACATACCTTAGAAAATTGTTCATTTTTTGCTAATGTTTATCTGACATATTACCTATAAAGCAAGACAAGGAAGCGTTGAGCACTGAGTCTTTTCATGGCCAAAGTCCAGTGGCCAAAGTCCAGCCTTTGTTTTTGCTCCTGTTCGTGGTGAATGTCAGCAGAGCATAGGCTTGTCAGATGGTGCCAATCCTATGATGAGGCACTTGAAGAGTTTGGAGGTTAGGGCATGTGAAATACGGAGCTGGAAGGAAGCATGCTGCTATCCCATTGGAAGCAAAGGGAAGGGTAGGCCCATAGAATACTTCTTCTTTGCCTTCCTTACTTACATCCAGGACCTGCAAAAGAAGTCTGTATGTTAAAGATGATTGTTCAAAATAAGACTTGTGGGCTGCGAACCACAAGGTCAGCAGTTCCAAACTACCAACTGTTCTGCAGGAGAAAGCTAAGGCTTTCTGCTCCTGTAAAGATTTACAGCCCCGGAAACCCTGTACAGTGTCAATGTGAGTCTGAACCAACTCCACAGCACATAACAACAAACAAAAAGAAACTTGAATAGGTTCCTTTATATGTCGTATAATTGGGCATTGTTATTTTTCTTTCTAGGATAACACCAGAAATAGTTCATGCATTTTCTAACTTCTAAATTGTATATATGTGTGTATAAACATACATACATACATACATACATATTTATAAACCTTTACTTTTCAGAACAAGTGATGAGGTTCAATGAAAAATTCTCATTGAATAAAACTGCCTGACACTGGTTAATTAACTTGCCCAAACTAGTAAGTAGAGTTTCATCGTGTTAGCTTTCAAATCTCAAGCCTACACTTACAGCACAGACTGAAGTAAGATGCAGCCATTTTGAGAAGGGCTTGCTACAGAGTCAAGAGCAGCTATTACCTAGGAAAGCTAAGGTTGAGCCTTAAGTCCTTTTTATAGTACATAGTTTGTTTATTGGGTTGGCAGCAAAGGATGCTAGTAAAGTCTGTTGTTTGCTCCCAGAGGTTATACCTCTCCAAGGCCTTTATAGCTCCTACAGTCCAAACCTACATACCCAGTTTTCTACCGTCGCAGTTCAAACCAACTTTGTTGTCCAATGCATTATGTAGCGCCACATTCAGCAAGTCCAAAATGGAGTAAATTACCTTCATTTAAAAAAATCTACAGTGCCACACCTCTGCTCACCTAAATGTCTTTGTTGTTAAATGCCATCAAGTTGATTCCAACTCACAGTAATCCTGTACAGGGTTTCGGAGAAGCAGCTGGTAGGTTTGAACTGCTGACCCTTTGGTTTGCAGTCCAGTGCTTATCGTATAGCATTACACCAGAAGTTACAAAAAAAAAAAAAAAAGGCATTTGCCTCCCTGTAGGGGACCTGAACCCATCTCCCATGTGACACTTCCACTATACTATAATGATGCCTTGTTAGGTGCCATCAAGTTGGTTCCAAGTCAGTGACCCTATATAGTGTTTCAAGGAACAGCTGATGGGTTTGAACCACCAACCCTGTGGTCTAGTGCATTATCTCAGTTCCACATTCAGCATGTCCAAAATGAAGTAAAATTATCTTCATTTTAAAAAAATCTATATTGCCCAGGCCTAGGATTACTAATTCTTACTCTTTTTTTGTTTTTTTATGAATCTTTTTGGTGTGCCACCATAAGATAAGCACTCAACCTCAAAGTCAGTTTGTACCACAAGGTCGGCAGTTCAAACTCACCAGCCACTCCTCAGAAATCCTATATAGGGTTGCTATGAGTTGGAACTAACTCAACAGCACTTAACAAATGATTCTGATTGGTGGAGGTGGTTATGTGCCGCCGTGGGATCTGTTCTGACTCATAGCTACCCTGCATAGGGTTTCTGAGGCTGTATATCTTTATGGGAGCAGAAAGCTTCATCTTTATCCTGCGGAACCGCTGGTAGTTTGTAACTGCTGGCCTTGAGATTAGCAGCCCATTCGTAACCACTATGTAACCAGAGCGCCTCCTCACATTGTCATGTTACCATAATTACAAGTACAGGACTCTGTTGTCAGTTTTTACTTTCGCAAAGTAAAATATGAAGATGATATGCAGTTTTTATTAAATAGTATGGTCATTGTCTAGCTACCTTTACTCATAACTTTCTAACCTCATCTGACAGACAAGGTAACTTGAGAGGTATGATGTAAGAACACAGCCTTAGGAATCAAAGTGGTTGTGTTTGAGTTCCTGATCTATGGTTTAGTAGCTCTGTGACTAGAAAGTTACTCAACCTCTCTCAGCCTATTTCCCCATTTTTAAAATTAGGGAAACATTAACCTTGCAACTTTGTGAAAATTGGAGATACTTAATTCAGTGTCTGCCACACAACTTAGTGGTGGCGGGTTCTGTGCCATGGAGTCGGTTCCAGACTCTTACTAGCTTTACAGGAGCAGAAAGCCTCATCTTTCTTCCTCGGAGTTGCTGGTAGATTTGAACTGCTACCTTGCAGTTAGCTGCCCAACTCATAGTGAGACTACCAGTGCTCCTTATACACTTAGTTGTTCTAATTGTTAGTGCCACTGAGTTGGTTCCAACTCATAATGACCCTGCATAGGGTTTCCAAGGAGCAGCGGGTGAGCTTGAACTGCCGACTTTGTGGTGCAAACCAACTTTTCAGTCCAGCACATTAACACAGCACCACACCAGGAGTTGTTGTTAAGTGCCATCGAGTCAGTTTCGACCCATAGCGACCCTGGATAGGGTTTCCGAGGAGCAGCTGGTGAGCTTGAACCACCAACCTTGCAGTTCAAATGGCTTTGCAGTCTGGAACATTAACCCACAGTGCCACACCAGGAGTAGCAGGTTCAAAATGAGGTGTTGATTCTAGAAAGTTTGCATTTATTTCCCTCTTCAAGCTGGAGATCTACCTCTTTCCTTATATGACACAGCTACTCTGCTTAGTGTAAGTAACCTCACTGAATCTGACTTAATCCTCAATACCAGGAAAGCATTTTCTTGAGGAAAACTTCCCATATCCTCTTTGCCAAGCCCGTTAGACTCGTTCTAGCTTTAAATCTCTCTTCATTTAACCTTCCTCCAACCCCATTTAAAACCTATCCTTCCCCTGCTAGAAAAAATAAATCCCAAAGGAACTGTTATTTCATTCAGTATAGAGATCAAACTGGAGATCATTGTAACATTTAGCCCAACTACATAGGGTTAAGCATAATCTTCAATTTACAGAGAAGAAAGTTGAGATGCAGAGAAATGAAGTGACTTGCACAAAGTCATCTGGCTACCAAGTGGAAGCCAATATTTGAGCTCAAGGATGCAACCCAAGAAAGAGCAAGGGGTTCATGCCATTTGTGATACTCCCCACCCCCAATGGAATATGTTTTTTTAAAAGACAGGATGTCAGTTGAGGTAATCATCCAGAGTGCTTTTGTCTGGCTCCAGGGCCAACTGAGACTGCATATGTTAAGCAGATGTAATGTATTTAATCTGTGAGCAGGGAAAAGGAAGTGTTGGCAGGTTTTTCTCCAAAACACTCCCCTGTTAACTGGCAAAGAGAAGGCATTTGGGAGAAGGAGGTGCCAGTTTGGCAGCATATTTTTCAGCCAAAAGGAAATAATAGTAAATGAAGAGCAGTAGAGGTGATCTGAAAACAGGGTAATCACTTAGACAGCTGCTCCCTTACGTGCCCCTCACCGTCCAGGGTGTACCAGATTAGAATCAAAACTCTTCGCTAGGCATTTGCTTACATACCCACTAAATAAACAATGAGCACCTTCACTTCTGTCTGGAATCTATTTCAAATCTTTTCCATGAGTCTTTGTTAGTAACAAGCCCAAATTTCAGTCTTTAAACATCGTGAGCATCTCCGCTTTCCCATGATTTGGGTTGGCCTTGTGATAGGCCATTAGTATGCGGTTCCAGGTCACGTGCTGGTGTTTGTGTGTTGGTGAGTAGGTTCTGGCTCACAGCAACCCTGTATAGGGTTTCTGAGATTGTAAATCTGTACGGGAACAGAAAGCCTCATCTTTCTTACTCGAAGTAAATGGTAGATTCGAACTGCTGCCCAGCTCATAATCCACTACCCTACCAGGGCTCCTTGGAGTCCTGGTGTGGTGCTGTGGGTTAATGCGCTGGACCTCAAAGTCAATTTGAACCATAAGGTTGGTCGTTGAAGCTCACCAGCTTCTCCTAGGAAACCCTATCCAGGGTCACTATGGGTCAGAACCGACTCAAAGGCACTTAACAACAACCAGGGTTCCTAAGGTCAGATGTTAAGTGCCAGCAAGTCAGTTCCAACTCAAAGCAACCCTGTATAGATAGGGTTTCCGAGACGTGGTTGGTGAGTTTGACCCACCGATTCCATTGACTGCAGTCCAGTGCTTATCCTACAGTGCCACAGAAAATAGTACACCTTCTTAACATTTGGTGTGTTTCATTTCCCTGTAACTCAGTCCTGTACATGAAATTTAAAAGAGCTTGGATGATGGTTCAGAAAGGGCAGTCTAATGAGACAGGTCAAGAACAAACAACAAAAGTGATTTTAGTCATTCTGGGTGTTAATGAACCAGTCTCTGTATTATTTATATCTGACCTTCACCAGTTTTAATTGGCCATTCCATTAGAATCCAAAGGTTATATAGATTTGTGATTTATGACATGAAAAATGTAAACGTTGATATTATCTAGCATGTATATACTATTTTCCATATTCTTTCTATACTTTCAACCTATTGACGAGTACTTAAGAATCTCTGCTGCCTAATCAACTGTTTCTCATGAACACTGACTGTAGCAGGCTTCCATTATCTATCTTCTCTGTTATATATTCTTTCAGCAAGTAGTAAAGAAGGAGCTTGCTTTTAAACATGTGGCTAGTCTCGTCAACCATCAATGTATTACTATTAATGTACCAAGATAAACAGTTCCATGTTGTTAAGTGTTGTTGAGTAGCTTCCAACATAGCAACTCTGTAGAGCGTTTCCAAGGAGTGTCTGGTGGGTTTGAACCACTGATCTTGTGGTTAGCAGTCTAGTACATACCCTACAGCACCATACCACACATGTTTTGTAATGTCTATGTAGGGTGTTTTTTTTTTAACTTTTCTTAAATAATAACTTAATTGCATTGTAGTTAGAGATCAGAGTCCCTGGGCCAAACTGTGGTGGCTTGCATGTTGCTATGATTATGATACCGGAAAGCTATGACACTGATATTTAAAATACCAGCATGGCTGCCCATGGTGGACAGGTTTCAGGGAACTACCAAAAGAAGACAGAGGAGACTACTTAACAATAATTTTTACTAATTACTAATAATGAAGACTATGTAGTATGAATTGACAGCTCATAACTAGACCAACAATATTATAAATGGAGACAATATTGAGGCAGTCAAGGATTTAATTTTATTTGGATCTACAACACTCGTGGAAAGGAGACATTATAACATTTTGGATGTGCAAAGGAAATACTACCAAGTATTTCTAGATTTTTGTTTGGTTTATAAGACAGAAACAAAGGTGTCCCACTCTCCCAATTTCTAGTGTACACTACATATTTCCAAGGCTTAGCTGCATCTGTATTTTCAATGGGGCTCAATCATTAGTATTAGGCATTGATTTTAGGGTACAGGATAAAGATTAGAAGCTGAACTAGTTGTACACATGCACACACAAAAGTGAGTTTGAGCCTCTTTCTACACATAAATGTGTTTTCCTTCAGTAGTAGCAGGGCAAAAAAGTAACCTCTCAGAACCACATGAACAAACTTCAAAAGAAGAACTTCAACCACTCACCTGGATACAAGCCAGAGGCTCATTTGTCCAAATCGAATATCCTCCAACTAAATATATTCTCCCATTATGGACAGCAACTCCAGATTCATTTTGGCCTAAAGTAAAGAGAACTGAATAAAATAAATAAATCCACGTTCCTGCATGTTTTAATTATGCTCTTTGCTATTGAGGGATACAATTTCCTCCTCTGGCACACTTGTATATTCAGTGGGATGTGGGCAGCAATTAACCACTGCCTCCCAGTACTCAGAATGAAGAATTAACCACTATTTCTCAAAGAATCTCTGTGGAGTCAAGGTCAGGCTAAAACACTAAGCCAAGTTGATAAATACACTATTAAATATAGCAATAATAAAGCCATACAACTAAGAGTTTGAAAAAAAAAAAAAAGTTGTTTTTGTTAAGTGCCATCGAGTTGATTCTGACCCATAGTGACCCTGGATAGGATTTCCAAGGAGCAGCTGGTGAACCACCGATCTTGCAGTTAAAATGACTGCAGTCTGATGTATTAGCTCACAGCGCCACACCAGGACTCCAATATTATACTGCTGTTATGTGCCGTGGAGTAGGTTCCGACTCATAGTGACCCTGTACAGGGTTTCCAAGGCTGTAAATCTTTACGGGAGCAGAAAGCCTCATCTTTCTCCCGTGGAACAGCTGGTTGTTTCGAACTGCTGACCTTGCGGTTCACAGCCCAATTCGTAACCAGTACGCTATCAGAGCTCCTTAATACTATACTAGGAGGCTTCAAAAAGCTTATGGAAAAGTTCCATTAGCTTTGAATTCCATTTTCCCACAAACTTTTTGAGAGCCCTCTTGTATTTATTAGTGGTGGTAATGGTGTGTCATGGAGTCACTTCCTATTCATTGCGATCCTATTCATTGGGTTTCCAAGGGTGTAAATCTTTTATGAGAGCAGAAAGCCTCATCTTTCTACCATGAAGCAACTGGTAGTTTTGAACTGCTAATCCTACAGTTAGCAGCCCAAATTGCAACCCCCTATGCTACCAGGACGCTTTCCTCTGTATTGCATGCCATTAATTTACAGTGGTGGCAAAAAAGATGTATTTTAGAAATGCAAAAATCACCTCTTGTATCTGCAAATGCTTTTAAGGCAGTGCGTACATTTGCAAAGTAATAGCTGCAACCCCAAGAAGCCAATAAAACAGCCATGCCCCTAGCATGCCCCAAATGAAGATAAATGGCAGAGAAGATTGATAAAGTTACTACCCTTCCTTTCTTTATATACATAACAGTTTTAAGACTATATTAAAGTTCCTGAGCTGGGACCAGCCGGGATAATCCCTAGATACTGACATACCAAATTGATGAAAGCTCTCCCCTCCCCCTCCAGCCTCCCATTTCAAAAAGAAGACCGAATAACTCACTACCACACAGTCTTCCCTGGAGGCCATCCGAGACTGAGATCGTCTCTTTTTATTGATGGGCTGACACAGGATTGACTGGGGTAATAAATAAGCTGGGTCCTATAGCAGGCAGAATCATGGGATGCCAAGACCTAAGGTGGTATACTACAGCAACCTGGAGAGAGTTAAGTACTTGTAGGGAGCCCTCAAAAATCATTTTGCAAAAACGAATGCAACATAAAGCATCCAAGTCTCTCACATGGGTTATGCTCCCAAACGTGCCTGCCCCCGGCAGCAGCTATGAGTAATCAAGTGCCTGCTTGACATATTAAAATGTCTTCAGAAACTAAACCAAGCCACCATTTTTAGTTTGTGATTTTCCTATTAGTATAACAGCCACGGTACTTAACAACAACAAATAACAGCCTGAAAGGATCTAATCACTTGTTGATCTTAATGCATGTTGACAGAGGAAGAAACGTTTTTACTTCTATAAAGCAATATCAGTAAGTTGCTTCCTTCTTCTTTTCAATCTCTTTGGGAAGAGGATAAAGTTGAGTGGCCTGGGTTCTACACATGGTGTTGCCCTGTAGCCAGAAATGCTGCCAATACCAATGCATAGAGCCTCTCTACAGTTTTGTGTTTTAGGAGAATTCAGTCAGTATTTGACGCTGACAAACAGACCCTTTTCATGAACTTCTGAGCTCCTGGGAAACAAAACAGGACTGAAAGCCACGAGAAATCAAAAACATGAAGGGACTTCAAAAAAAATCATGGAAAAATGGAACTAAAAGATAATGAATTTTTCCACAAACTTTTTGAAGCCACCTTGTACATTGCTTCTGTGAAAGGTTTTATTACCTCATTCAAGCCTTTGATTTCTTCTATAAGTGTTAATCAAAGTTCCTATGTGAACACTGATTAATGATAATGGAATTTCTTAGGAGAACATACACAAAAGGTATTACAGGCCCTGAAAACCACTAGCTGCTCAGCCACCTGAATGAGTTCTTTTGCTATGAGATAAATAATGTACACCTTTTGGGTTAATAAGAGTAAAATTTGCCACCATCCAGTAGCTGTTGAGTTGACTCTTAACGCCTGCTGGCCCACATGTAGCACAATAGAACTCCATCAGGTTTTTAATGGCTCAATTTTTTGGAAACAGGATTGCCAGGTCTTTTTTCTGAGATGCCTCTGGGTGGACTCAAACATCCAACTTTTCAGTTAGCCACAGCACAGTAACTACTTGCACCACTCAGGGACTCCTTTACCACAACAGACCTAATGGTTAGAGATGCACCAAAGATGAAAGCAGAGTCCTGATGTGGCACTGTAGGATAAGCACTAGACTAAAAGGCAGCGGTTTACACCACCAGATGCTCCTTGGAAGCCCTAAACAGGGTCCTTAAGGGTCCCTATGAATCAAAACCAACTCTATAGCACATAACAACTGCAAAGATGAAAATGTATGAGAAAGCAAGTTTGGCAAGTTCTCTAATCTCTGCTCTAACTCATTTATGTAATTAAAGGTACTTGCCTGTCAACAGGTTGAAATTACAACGTGTCCACTGGTCAGTATCTATGTTATAAGAATCTATATGCCGCACAAGGATGCGGTCATTGTTGTAGTCTAGGTCGTTGCCTCCAAGAACATAAAGCTTCCTTTGGACAGCAGCCATGGAATGATATACCCTTCTCTGCAGCATAGGGCTACGGCTTATCCACTTATTCTGAAAAAGGAAATTCAGGTGAATTGTGTTAGTAGAGGACCTCCATGAAGAAAACAGCAGTGGCTACCTCAGTAGTATAGGCGACCATAATGTTTATCAATTAAATATTCTACTTGATAATTGGTTAGATACATTGAACTTCTTATGTGACAACCACATATTCCAACTCCATTTTGCAGAAGAACTACATACTCCAACTCATTGCAACTTACTGAAAGGCAAATTCCTCTTGTTTGGATTGCATTTTATAGGAAAATTTGTGTTTTATCAGAGACCATATGATAATTTAGACATTTGCACCATGACTCTCTCATAATTCAGAAGATCGTACTCAGGCAAGTCACTTAAGAGTTGTTGTTGTAACAATGGCTGTTTAAACGTAAGCCTTTGGAAGGCGTTTTCTCAAATAAATATTGTCACTTCAAAACACAACTAACAGTATTTATTGCCATGACAAAATACAAGCTTTGATGCCGAAATTAAGATTATGGATAACCATGAACTTGGCAGCCTTTCATTAGATAGGTGGTGACATTGGCAAATGTGAACCTTTTGATATTATTTATTGTCATATGCCAACTTGAGAAGTTCTGCATTACTTGGTAAAGCAATATTTTTCAAATGATATAGCTAACTAAATATCCATTCTCTGTAAGAAACACCACCTTATTTTAATGTAAGAGTACAAAGTTTATTTATGTGGTATGAGTCTTCATTTTAGCTAATCTTTGTCACATTTTGGTATAGTATCAAAAGACATGTGTACACAGTTACCTGAAATGGTATTAAAATCTTCCTTTTCTCTTTAACCCAAAAATATCCCCTGAAGTCTTAAAACCAAACCATATAGCTTAACTAGAACGTCTTCCTGAGCATTTTGCTCTTTTAAGAACTGTATGGGATCAAACTGACAACAGGAATTCAAAAGATGAAGTAGAAACCTATGCGACAGTAAGTTTGTCAATGAGAGACAGGAACAATTCAGAAAAGGAGGGAGAGAATGCTTGTACGACTCAAGGAATAATCAATGTTATTAAATGTACATGTAGAAAGTTGTTGTATGTTTTACTGTAATTGTTTCAACAAAATAAAATTGTTTCAAGTTTTCTTTTTTAAAAAAAGAAAGAGCTGTTGTTGTTAAGCGCCGTCAAGTCAGTTCCGACCCATAGCGACCCAGGATAGGGTTTCCAAGGAGCAGCTGGTGAGTTTGAACTGCCGACCTTGCAGATTAAACCACATAAACTTGCAGTCCAGTGCATTAACCCACAGCACCACATCAAGATTCCTACTTAAGAGTAAAAGCTCATAAACAGCTATAGTGTGTAGTGGATTCCTGGTGTGGGCTAATGCGTTTGAACCTCAAGGTTGGTGGTTCAAGCTCACCAGCTGCTGCTTGGAAACCCTATCCAGGGTCACTATGGGTCAGAATCGACTTGATGGCACTTAACAACATCAACAACAACAACAGTGATGTTGGATCCAGACTTTGGATCTAGAATGCCTGGGTTTTTAAAGTACATGTGGCCTTGAGCAATGTACTTAACCCCTCCATGCTGTTTCCTCATCTCACAAGGGAAATATTACCTACCTAACAAGACTGTAGTAAAGATTAAATGAGATAACACATATAAAGTCATTTATAATAAGCCTGGCACATAATAGATCTCCAATAAATTTTAACTTTTAAGTTATTGTGATGACGATCATTGGCTATCTAAGGCTATGCTAATTTAGACATTTGCACCATGACTCTCTCATAATTCAGAAGATCGTACTCAGGCAAGTCACTTAAGAGTTGTTGTTGTAACAATGGCTGTTTAAACGTAAGCCTTTGGAAAGCGTTTTCTCAAATAAATATTGTCACTTCAAAACACAACTAACAGTATTTATTGCCATGACAAAATGCAAGCTTTGATGCCGAAATTAAGATTATGGATAACCATGAACTTGGCAGCCTTTCATTAGATAGGTGGTGACCTTGGCAAATGTGAACCAGCTCTGCTGATTTTTTCAAAATTCACCTCATGCAGTCAGTGGAAGAACTAAGATTTGGTTCAGTAACAAACTGATTAGTATCACAACCTCCTTCAACATATTTACAATTACACCATTTATTTATTTGCTAGAAGGCCAAGTTTTATATGACAGCTTTAGGGAATATTTGATTCTAGGCCACTCTCGATAATGAGAAGGGTACGTTCAACCTATCTTAAAATATTCTTCCTATTTAAAATGGCACATACAATGCAATTTTTGATAAAATCAAACATGACTTTAATTTTAATTTCAACTAAGCAATCGACAGGTAAGCAAACTTAATTACTTCCTTTCTACATAGTCACAACGTATACAGAAAAATGCCAGATTCTATTTTGCCAAGAAAAAAAATGGACTTCAATCAGAAAAATAATATGATGTTTTGAATACATAGAATATCACTAGTTCACAAAGCTTTAGGGAAATAAATAAAACAATGTGCTCTATAAATACTATTTCATTCAATATAGAAATATCTAGTAGTTCATTTCTAATTTTTATTTTAAAGATACACTTTAAAAAAAGAGAATGGTTTGTATGATTTGAACGTATCGGCTTCCCCTCTTTGAACATGTCATAATAAGGATTGCCTTACAATCAAATAACTTCTTTAATAAAATAACTAAGCCTTTCTATCAGATATTTTGCTAAAAAAAATTAATAGGTTACACATGAGTGAATTTAACTCAAAACTATGATAATGCTATTTTAGGTGCTTTCTATGAGCTAACCCATTATAGTATTAGGAATCAATGTTTGTATTAGCAGTCCATTCCCTTGTCACAAAACTATGGACGCCATCTGGTTTGCAAAGTCAGCCTGCATCCCCTGATTACATCTTTAGCTTCCTTTGCTGCAGTGCCTGCCAGGTGAGCCGCCAACCACTGCAAAGGCAAAAAAACAGAAAGGCCTGGTGGGGTCGTTCCTAATAAGCTAGCGTGTGAATACTAATCAGTGATGGGGACGCAGAGGTCACCCCAGCCTGCCTGTTGGCAGGTAGCGATGTGCTCTGTGGCAGATGGCAGGCATTATCGACTCTCCACAAAGGCCTAGAAGAGAAATAAGCACCAGGGCTGAATGATAGAGTTATTGAGATTCTGAGCAAGATGCAAGCAGATGTGATGTTTGCCAGTACCCACCGTAAACAATATGCCAGCAGAATTTTAAAAAAGAGCATGTGTGTACAAACACGAAACAGAACTCATTTGAGAAAATGTTAACACCTTCTTCCTCTTTAACCACGTGTTCACCAAGCTTCAGCAACTGCAATTAATGATCCCTCTTGGGACAGCTGACCCATGGTCTCTGAAATCTACAGCTTCTACTGACATCAGGAAATACATTTGCAAACTGTGTTTCAGGAATGCCTTCTTAAAACTGAGGATCAAGTTCATTGTTAAACTAAATAGATACCATATAAACTGAGGTCATCTTTTGCACACATTTGGTGGCTGGTCCTGATCAACCGCCAAAGCCAACCTGTTGTTTCATGCCTTGCTATGTCAGCTGATAAATGTAGAAACCCCAGATCAAACCATGTTAGAATCTTTTCAAGATCATGAAAAATACTTATATTGCCCAAATCATAGAAATGACAAAATTCTGAAGACATTTGCCAGGGTCACTGATGTTTTCAAGAAAGAAAGGAGAATAAAAATAATTCTCCTTTTGAAGGAAAAAATAATAATAATTAAGTGTGCCTGAGCAATTGACAAAAAAGTGACAGATATTTTTCATAATGGTTCCCATTTAGGTCCCAGCTCTTAGGTGAAAAATATACTCAAACTCTTCAGATACTTTTACCTTAGACTTGTCCTATATGTTTCTCTACCCTTGGGAGTAAGGGAACTATAAATACATTCCCTTTCTAGAACCACATGTCTTCTCGAAGGAAATAACAATAGGACCATTGCAATCATTTCTTCAAAGACTTCTAAACATGAGCAGTCACCAGAAATATGGGAATAAAGGCACTTAAACTCATCAGTGTATTTTTCCTTATTTTCTACACTGGGAAAAATTCTGAAGGAGTTAAACACTATGTACAGCATACAACTAGAGGAGCTGAGATTTGGGGGTGTTAAAAAAAACAAACAAAGCAAAAGTAGTTTATCCAGATGTTTCATTTTCTTTATACAAGCTTAAGATGCATATTTACCGTGTATAGACGTGGCATTCCAATGACTACTTAAAATTCATTTAAATTAAAGTAATGAGTTATTCTTACAGGATTCTTACCTGGTTAGGTTCATATACCATTAGTCTATTCTGATACTGTGCGGTGTTGGTTACTCCACCTGTAATGGATTAACACATGTTAAAAGCTTTTCATGAATAAGAAATAGGATATTCCCACATAAAAATGAGACACAATTAAAGGAAAATTAGCTACTGCTGAGGATCTGTTTGTATGTATACCCTCCTGGTGAACCATGACATAATTAAGATGCTTATTGTAAAGCAGTTTCAAGAAACATTTAAGAAGCATTCCAGTTGAGAGTAAGCAACAAGTGTGCTGTGATTACTAAGAAGTCCCAGTTCTGGTGATGTGATCTGTATGGCCAAACAGGAAAACTGTGGGAGGAACAGAAGTGAAGGGACGGTTCCATATATATAAATAAGTCTCTATACAATTTATGCCAGGGACATAGGAATGTGGAAAATTCTTGTCCTTCTCTAAAGTGACAAGTTTACAATCTAGCCTTCTGATCATTAGCACAGTGATATCTTGACACCTTTTTGGAAGAACCACATTTAAGAAAAGGTTGTTGTTGTTAGGTGCCATCGAGTCGGAACTGACTCATAGCGACCCTGTGCACAGCAGAACGAAACAATGTCCGATCCTGGGCCAACTTCACTACTGTTACCACCTGGCCAATCCATCTTGTTGGGGGTCTTCCTCTTTTTCTCTGACCCTCCATCTTACCAAGCATGATATCCTTCTCTAGTGACTGTTCCCTCCTGACAATATGTCCAAAGTATGAGAGATGAAGTTTGGCCATCTTGGCCTCTAAGGAGCACTCTGGCCTAATCAAAAAGGATGTAGAGCAATGCAAAGCCATAAACACAAGTCACAGATACAGTATTGGATTTTCAAAAAGGAAAGCAGTAAAATTAAATAATAATCTTATTTAACTCAACATAACCAAAATATTATCATGTCAACATAAAATCAATATCAAAAGTTTTAGATATTTTAATTCTTTTTTTTTTTTTCAATAGCACATTTTTTAAATCCAGTGTGTATTTGTGGGGTTTTTGTTTTGTTTTTAAATTAATCCAGTGTTTATTTGAAATGCTCAATAATCTCAACTAGATTAGTCACATTTCAAGTGCTCTATAAACCACAGGATAATCACCATATTGGATAGTACAGACCTAGAGTTCTCCAGTGAAATTGTTACTATAGTCAACATTTTTGAAGCCCTCTAGAGAGCTGCTTCCATCTAAGAAACTTGAGAGCTTCTGCTAAACCTGTTGTGTGCCTCGAATCAGCTCTGGCTCATAGCAACCCTGTATAGAGTGGCAAAGAGCAGCTGGTGGGCTTCGACTGCCGATCTTACAGTGAACAGTCAATTCAGTCCCTGTTATTGTTGTTAAATGCCATCAAGTCATTTCTGACTCATAGTGACCCTGTATAGGGTTTCCAAGGAGCAGCTGGTGGGTTTGAACTGCCAACTTTGTGATTAGCAGCCCAGTACTTATCTAATAGTACCACACCAGTACTCTAGTGCTTTGTTGTTTAGTGTTGTCAAGTCAGTTCCAACTCATAGCAATCCTGTATACAGTTTCTGAGGAGTGGCTGGTGGATTTGAACAGCTGACTTTGCAGTTCAAACTGACCTTGCAGTACTTGCCTATACTACAGCACCACATCAGAACTCTAGTGCCAGGTAAATTGTATTTGTGCTTGTGCTGTTTTTATTGAGGACTATAAAACCTAGAAAATATTCATTGTAGTTTCACTTTTACCACTAGACGGAAAATTCCTAAAAAAACCCCACAAAAACAAATCAGAAAATAATGCCAGTAAATAATAAATGTTGTTGTTAAGTACCATCAAGTCAGTTCCAACTCAAAGTGACCCTGTATAGGGTTTCTGAGGAGCAGCTGGTGGGTTTGAAGCACTGACCCCGAAGTTCAAACTGACCTTTTTTTTGGTCTAGTACTTTTTCTATAGTGCCACACCAAGACTCTAAGATGTTGTTATTGTTGTTATGTGCTGTGGAGTCAGTTCCGACTCATAGCGACCTTGCACAGGATTTCCAAGGCTGTAAATCTTTATGGGAGCAGAAAGCCTCATCTTTCTCCCGCAGAACAGCTGGTAGTTTGGAACTGCTGACCTTGAGGTTTGCAACCCAATTCGTAACCACTATGCCAGGTAGTAAAATAATAGAAATATAGGGAGCAAAAAAAAATCAGCCTTAAGAAATATTGCCTGGTGCATAGTCCCAGCTCCTGCAATAAAATGAATAACATTCTTACTTTAATTGTATCACAAGAAGCCACTAATTTTGTACTAAAGATCTAAAATTGAGCTGGACTACAAGGGTTTCCTACTGGAATTCTTAGTGCTTAAATATGAGCACTGTTAGAATACACATATTTCATATAGGTCACCACCATCAACTCCATTACTAGGAGTCAAGTAAAACCAGAGGATTAGTGCCTAATCTTCCACTGAGCTATAATAATCAGTCAACATTAATGGATACATAAAGGGGAGGGAACCTATCCAGGACAATCATTACATCCTTACTCAATCCCACTAAAGAGATTACATCTTTCATGTAATTGACCATGGTTATTATTAACTGGAGGGCTTTTTTATTCTCCCTGAAGCTTGAAACCACTTTTAAGATCAATGTAAGTTTTATCAGTGGAGGAAATATACAAAGAACAGAGCTAAATGAGCTTCTTGCCCTCAAAAGAAGTCTTCTCTGGATTATTCGTTGCTTGTCTAAAAAGAAACGAAATCACACTTAAGAAAGCTAAGGGTGAAATACCTACAGAGAGTTAAGATGCTGGTCAAAATAAATACCGAGGTGTGTTGGTTTTTTACTCCCCAACTTCCCCTTCTTAGTTGATTAAAAATTGAATGTTCAATCATTCTTTGTCAGCATAACTACACAGGAATCACCAAATCTATTGAGGCCTCACAAGTCTTTAGGATTAAAATGATTGCCAGTCCTTTAGATCTGGGCCATAACCACCGGATTAATGGCCAGCTTGTCTGTAATCATTTCTCCAATTGAGAGGGAACAGACGGTAAAGCTTCCACCCATTATTTTAATACTGCAAAGGTTTTCCATTTGTTTTAGAAATATGGAAGAGAATTAATATCTACTGCCATAAACTATCTGCTTATGACACTTATTTAAAAATATTTACACTACTAAATGTATCAGTCTCTGCCAGTTATAGATTAAATGTATAACCAATGGATTCGAATGTAGTTATTACTTCCCCTCTTCCAAACAGGGTACACAATTTATCTCTATGCTCTTCAAAATTATTATTTACTGTCTTTCACAGATGTATCTAGAATGCTTTTTTTTTTTTTTTTTTTCTTAATCTGTACTCCATAATTAGATTTCTTGTCCGTACATACAAATTTTCATTCATATAATAATGTTTAGAAATGAGATATTGGATTACAAATTGGGAATAAAAATAAAAGTCCTGGTTAGTTTCTTGGTTGATTACCTCTACAATGGTAAACCACAGGAGGTGCCTGAAAAACTTAGTGCTGTCACTTTTGCCAGGGTCAGGATTGCAAAGGAAAACCTTGGAAATTGATTCTATTGCTTTCCCCTTTGAAATAATTTACAAATGAGCATATAAATAAGACCATTTCTTCTCAGTACAAAAAGAAATTAAAAAGAAAAAGGAAAGCATCCACATTTGCAGCCCACATTTCTTGCGCAGTGTGGTTTCATTTGCAGCTTTATCATTACATTCCCTTCACATAACACTCTTCACTTTTAGATTAATCTGCTGAAATGAGATGCTAAGGATTTGCATACAGATTTGACTATACAAAAATAGATATGGAATTAATAACAGTCTCTATATGTTTTAATTTCGCCTAGACTGGAGTACCCTTGCCAGCAGCAGTATTCCTGGCTTTGGAAGTCATCAAGCTGATTTGTCTGCTCTGGGTTATGATACCACATGCTGCTATACTGTCCCCTGCAATCAAAGCACTTGCAAAGATAGATTCCATGCCTTCCTCTATCGAGTATATTTTATAGATTGGCAGTTTTGATCTCTCTCCCCCCCACCCCAGAGGGGATAATCTGCATCTTAACAGCTTTCTATAGATACATCTGTCATTAAATATGCCATCTCATATCAGCATTCGTTTTTAAAACCAAGTTTTCCCTAACTTTGAAGTGCCACAGTCAAAGTGAAGACTTTTCAGCCAAAATTGAAAATGAATAACCCTGTCTTATACTTTTGAACTGTGACTTAAAGATATACTGCAGGTTCCGCCAAAGTCAAATAAGTCTTTAAAAACTGCCAGAAGGAATGAAAAGTTACCACCATGCTACCAGCAGTGAGAAAAGCTTTCTATCATCAAGACAAGAGAAAAGCATTTTTCTTGCGCTTCTCTGTACAGCTCACCACACAATGTTGTGACAAATGGATGCATGCACACCAGAGAGATGATCACAGGTGACTGACAAACAGGCAACCTTTGTCTTCACTACCAAGAATTCATTGTCTTCCCCAACTCACAGTTAAGTTCAAAAGCAGCAACTGTTCAACCCTGGCTGTGTCTACAAAATAGAGATGTGTAGTAGACAATCTCATCTCTTTATACTTTGATCAGAATGGGTTGTCTCATGCCTCTATTAATTTCCCACTTCTCAGAGACAGAAAATACCTCTTGAATGGGAATGGTGAACCCTGAAGGGATGTGGGAAGGATTCTGTTACACTGAGGGGATTGAAATCATTGCCATGAAACAAAATGTATATAAACTGTTGAGTGCAAAATGAATTTGTTCTGTAACTTTTTATTCAAACTACAATAAAAAGTTCTTAGGCATAAGAATTTAGATATAAGAACTTTTTTGTGTGTAGTTTCATGCAATGATTTCACATCTCTATTTTGTAGACACAGCCAGTGTTGAACAGTTGCTGCTTTTGAACTTAACGTGAGTTGGGGAAGTGAATGAATTCTTGGTAGTGAAGACAAAGGTTGCCTGTTTGTCAGTCACCTGTGATCATCTCTCTGATGTGCACTCATCAATTTGTCACAACATTGTGTGGTGAGCTGTACAGAGAAGCTCA